GTGAATGCTTAATAAGCATTGACACAATAAAACGAAAAGTTGTGGTTGATGACAGGAATCCAGATGTTGCTCAAGATGAACAGATCCTCGTTGCTGATCCTAACAGTAAAGTGATTTCTGCTCACTGTCAGATGTTCTTTGTTTTACAACTCTCTGGTTGTTCCCTCCTGCACATCTTATGGATACAGCCGGGAGACTTGTTTCTTTTCTAGAGGATGGGCTAAAAAACAAATCTGCAATTTTAAACAAACATAATAAAGATGAACTTGTGGGGTTTTCCTGGTATAAAATTATATATACAGTAAAAGTTGGGTTTAGCTCCAATGCATTAGTAAAATTAAACGCCAAGGCCACACGTTTCTAGAGTTGAATATTTAAATCATTAAAAGAATTGATTAAACCTCATATGTTGCTAACAACCTTAAACTCGACTTGTGCGATGCGTTTGGTGTTGCCTGCAGCTGTGACTTATTCTCTTTGAGTGAACATCTGCGAGACACCCGGACCCGAGCCTTGTTGCCTTCTCTGCAAAACTTTGCTCTGACTCGATAATTTATGCAAAGTTTAGTTTGTTTACATGAATCCACCCACAAACACAATCTGATCTGACGTGTTCTGTTCACGTTCAACAGTAGGACATGTCATATCAGGTGGTGGGAGTATCCGTTAACCTCCGCGGACCTTTAGATTGTGTTTTCTCTTTTTTTAACGGCTGATGTTACCGCAGAGGAATCTGTTTTGTATCACCTAATCTGCCCTCGCTCGCTCGTTCATCCACACACCCTAAAAAGGACAGGAGGGGGGTGAAGGTTGGATTTGGATGTGGGGTCAGGGCTTTGTTTGGGTCACAGAGGGGTATATACAGGCCTCCAGGACTAAATGATGCTCCACGTTTGTTGGTTTGACCCTCTGTGGACGTTGCATCGCCTGGTTTGGTTTTTCTGCCTGACTGGAATCGAACATGACTTACAGACACTCAGGTAAAATGTTTGAAATTATTCACTGCTTCACTTTTCATATGGTTCGTTCTTCATCACGTAAAAAGGCCTGTGTTGTTTTGACATGTTAAAAGGTTTATTTATCTTATCATTTATCTTTAACTCTGAGAGTTTTTCCATTTACAGTTGAGATAAAAAAAAAATCCAGATTTTTTCAAAAACCTTTTATTTTCCTGAGAGGCAGCTCCATCATGCCCAGGAGAATTAAAGTTTGCTTTAAAAGTTCAAATTTAATATAACGTTTTTTTTTTTCTAGTAAGATAATTTACTTTGACATTTATTCCATCATATTGCTGGGTACAAAATCTCTGGTACAGCTAATTCTCGAAAACAAAAAGCGAGATTTTTCTTAAAAATATTCGATTTATTGATTTTCTTCATTAACATCATCCGACTTCAAGTTTCCTCTCAGCTTGGATTAATTTTTGGTGAAACATAAACTGTTATTGCTGCAAAATGACCTGTGGAAAAGCCAAAATGTCAATATAATTAAGAAAAAATATATTTTGGATATGAAAATTCTATCAAACACTTATATTTTGTGATCTATATGCATTATATTGTGTACTTTTTTTTTTTTTTTAAATATATAATGCACTTTAAACACTTTAGCATATGTGTCAAACTCAAGGCCCGGGGGCCAAATGTGGCCCTTGTTGACCTCTTATCTGGCACCCAAGGTGTTATTTTAAATGTAAAATACTTTTATCACTTTAATGTTTTCGGTAATCTTTGATTATGATGTTAAAAGTGCAACAGAGAACATCAAATGAGACCAATCAAACTCTTGTCGAGGAACCTGCAACCAAGAAAAGATGTTGGGTATCTGACGCGTTAATGTAGATTCTGAAACTGGCCCTTAGTTTGAAAAAGGTTTTAATTTTTGCCCCCTTTTGTAATTTATTTATAACATTGTTTAAAAAAAACAGCCCTTTTAGTCCCAGCTCAGTTTGTAGCATTTATGTGAAGGAGGCTGTATTCAGTCAGCTGCATCATTGAAGGAGGCAGGTTTGCCAACTTCTGAGTCACTGGTCCCACCATGACCTTTGTCACAGCAGAGGACTTTTCCCCAAAGAGGCCAATAATCCCCCACTCCTGCACAGCTGAGGGTCAGTGCATACCACACAGATCACCCAACAGGTGATGCTCTGTTTGCAACAAAAGCTTAAAATACTGGACGAGTTTCAGCCGGAGCCACAACAAGCATCACTCTGCGGAGAGGAGCAGTGTTCTTTAAATAAAAAGAGTTTAAAATAGAATCAACTGACAGCTGCGATGTGACAGGCTTGTGGTGGACTGAGAGGGTTTTTCCTGTTGATTAGCTCACATCCATCCATCCTCCACACTCAACAGAAGCTCGTGTCTCTGTGGGAGGCTTGGCGTCTTCACAGCGCTGTTTACAACATGCCTCATAAATAGCAGCAGTCCCCATTTCATAAATGTTTTGCTAGTCGCTATGGCGACCAGGACTCGTTCCACACATCGTTTCCTCCGTTGCTCCTGTTGTTGGCGATTAGATTAAAATACCTGCGGTGCTGTTTGTGTTCAGCTGCTACATGAGGGTGTAAATAAAGTTTTAGTCTGCACTCCACCTCACACCTTCATGAAGAATACATGTGGTGAAAATCAAATGCTGATTATTGTGTGAATGTTTATGAAGCATTCACTCCATTGTGATCCTCGTTTCTTCTGTACGTTTTTCAGCATCTTTCTCGTTCCAGTTTTTGTGCTATTTCAACAAATCATGTATCAAAATGTTCAGCTTTCAGGACAATCCTGCTATGACTTTTGGTATGGGTGCAACTTTAGCTTTTAGAAATATTTAGCCTTTTCTGACATATTTTTCTCATCGGAAATGAATTGAGCTCATTTTACATCCTTCAAATCTTTAGATCTGTTGACAACATTTTACTGCTCCTTTCACATTTGTTCTGGTTCAGCTTCTTTCAGCTTCCATCTGTAATTTTTTTTTTATAGCTATCTTCAGCTAATTTAAGCTGTTTTGCGCTCCTTTCAAATTCTTTCTGCTAATTACGATACAACATTTCTGTGCTTTTTCTAATTTATTTCTGCTCCTTTCAGGTTATTTCTGCAAGTTTCAGATTTTTCTACTATTTCAGCTACTATTTAGCTATTTTTACCATTTATGTTCATTTGAGCTTTTTCCAGCTAATTCCACATTTTTTTGCACAAATTTAAACTATTTTCAGCTTAATTCAGCAGAAATGTGCTCTCTCCACTAAGCTCTTTCTGCTTTTTAGCTACTAGCTGTTTGCAAATTTCTTTTTTCAGATTATTTCCACTTTTTGTGCTCATTTCCGCTTCTTTCAGCATACTTGGGCAAATGTATTTCTGCTTATTTAAGCTTGTTCTATAGCTTTTCAGCTACGTTTAACCAATTTTTAGCTACTTTCAGCTGTTTTCAGATAAATATGTTTTTATGGTAATTTCTGTTACATTCAGACAAAATAACTTCTTTCTGCTAATTTCAGCATATTATGCTCCTTTCAGCTTAATTATGCTAGTTTTAGCGATTTCAGCTACTTTTATTCTAATTTTAGCTTTTTCAACTTATTACTTTTTTTCTGCTTCCTTCTAGTTTAAGCTTCTTTCTGCCTTTCAGATACTTTTCAGCCATTTTTTGGATAATTTTAGCCTTTATTAGCTACTTTCCTTTTTCTTCTGCTCATCTCTGAATATCTAAACCAGTTTCAGCAAATATGTGTTTTTGCTGCTTTCTTCTGCTAGTTTAGTTTTTCCATTTCAGCATGTTTTTTCATAGCCAATTTCAGCTCTCTGCAAGTTCTTCTGCATTTTTGCAGGAAATACAATTTGCAATTTCTATCTACAAACATTTCTGATCCAATGAGTGGTTTAAAGTGCAGACAGACAGTGTGAGACTGATCCGAACACTTTAAAGATATAGAATCTGCAGGAGGGACAACAACAAGCAGACGTGTGAGCTGCTGTTTCACTTCTCCCACACTTCTCTCATCAGTTTGGTATGCTGCTGAGAGCTGGGTCTAACGGTGTCTTTATGAGAACGTGGAGAAAAACATGGGGCTTTTGTTAAAGACGTCTGACTTTATTTTAATGTACAGATGTTTCCACTGAGATTTTAATAAGTTTTACACACAGGGCTGAGAAAAAGCATTGAATAATTGCTCATTTTCACAAATCTTTGGCTTCCAAGGAGCCAGACTTCTAGTCTGATTAAGTTCCTCAGAGGGCCTTTCAAAGTTTTTCTTCACGGTTCGGCTTCTTTATTCCTCTTGTTTTCGGTCCAGTCCCTGAATATTTTCACAAGAATGCTTTTAGTTTAAGCCACCTAAGTTTGACCCATGAATCATTGGGGGATAGAAAAGAATCAGGAGATGAACCAGAGTTGTGTCAACACTTACAGATATGGATACATTTGCTGGTAGCCTTCCACAATAATCAAAACCACAACTGTTGGGACAGGAGCCACAAAGCTCCAGTTTTCTCTTGGATCTCAGAAACATTGAAACTTCTTAACACAAAATTTGGCAAACTCCTATCTGGCTTTTTTGTTTATGTTTGTAGCAGAGCCCTTTTAGATTTTATTCAATGGTGCCCATTATGATTCCAAGTGTGATGGACGGTGCTCAGAAACCTTGACCTTGGAGTTCAGCTTGAACGGCTTCCTTGGCTCTTTAACTATTGTCAGCATTTGTCTAATTAACCTGGGGTTGCATTCCCTCTTGCCTCCACATCCTGGGATGTTGGCTAGTGTCAGGAACCTTATACTTTTAAATAATATTGGCAGCTGTGGTCAGAAGACCAGGACGCTGCTTAGTGATAGTCTTGTAGACTTTACCTTCAACATGGACAACTATTATCTTCTTTATTTACCATTTCTTAAATTTTAACTGGATTGTTTTTTTGAGTCTAAGCTGGATTCGAAAAAGTTCCTGTTCCTTAAATGTAGCTGAGAATCAACAGAAACTATAATCCACAACTTTTATTTTGGTCTCCCCTCAGGACCGAGGAGTTACCTCACCTCCACCATGACCGATCGCTTCGACTGCTACTACTGCCGTGACAACCTGCACGGGAAGAAGTACGTGAAGAAGGATGAGAAGCACGTGTGCACCAAGTGCTTCGATAAACTCTGCGCAAACACCTGTGCAGAGTGCAGGCGCCCGATTGGAGCCGACTCAAAGGTAAAAGACAAATGCAAGGAATGCGAGTGAAGAAGAATCAGATATATACTGTATATATAAAAAAATACCTTTCCCCCACAGACGGACAATAAAATGCGGCTGTTAAGAAACACTAGTTTGGAGTAAAATCTTTGTCAGTGCAACTTTGTGGATGTAATAGTCACCCATCAGTATTTTTTATGCTTTTGTGTTCATAAATGAAATACATACCTCATCCTACTTCATATTAATTCTTGCATCCTCTGCATCTCTGGATTCTGGCCGTCCACATGATGAGTAAACAAACTTCACATTAAGGAAGACTTTGAGCAGATGTTTAAATTCAAACCCTTATGTTCAGGAGCTGCACCATAAGAACCGTTACTGGCACGAGGATTGTTTCCGCTGCGCCAAATGCTACAAGCCGCTGGCCAGCGAGCCATTCAACGCCCGGGACGACGGCAAGATCATGTGTGGCAAGTGTGGCTCGAGGGAGGATGGAAACCGCTGCCAGGGCTGCTACAAGGTGGTGATGCCAGGTGGGTCCTTGTTATATTTTTGTGTGTTAGAGCCCTAATAAATTACCACATTTCAGTGTTAAAGTAAGGTTTTCTTTAACTAAAAAACACCATCTACAGATGAAAAAAGAAAGGAAATACTTTACGCTGTTGTTTTAGGGTCCAAGAATGTGGAGTACAAGAACAAGATGTGGCACGAGGAATGCTTCAAATGCTTTGAATGCAATCAGCCAATACGCTCACAGAGTTTTGTGACCAAAGGTGATGACATCTACTGCCCTCCTTGCCATGAAAAGAAGTTTGCCAAGAAATGCTTCCACTGCAAGCAGGTGCATGTTGACCTCAGAATTCAGCAGAATGAGGAACATTTCAGTCTTGTTTCATCTGACATGATGCTCTCTGCTTCTTTGTTCAGCCCATCACCTCTGGAGGGGTCAGCTACCAGGACCAGCCCTGGCACTCTGAGTGTTTTGTGTGCCAGACCTGCCGTAAACCTTTGGCAGGAACTCGCTTTACCTCCCACGAGAATCACGTTTACTGCGTGGACTGCTACAAAACTGACGTGGCCAAGAAGTGCCATGGCTGCAAGAACCCCATCACAGGTTAGGCCGTAGACCACTGGTATACATAATTTCCATAAATCTTGACTGGATGTGCGCAACATGATATCACCACCATCTTGGTAGGCAAGTGCTAGACAGTAACGGCTTCAAAACTACTCTTGACCAATGTGCAAGAGCAAGATATAAACAGCAGATTTTCCCAACATTAGATGTTTGTCTGTGCAGAGTAAGAGTATTCAGTTTTGACATTTAGTACATAGCATTGCTTTGCAGACATTCTAAATCCTGACCCAAGTAGTTCTAGCACACATACATACTGGTACATAATCTTCCACTTGTTCCGAAGTCGGGTCACAGGGGCAGCATCTTGAGCAGGGAGGCCTAGATATCTCTTTCCACACTCACCTCTTCCATCTCTTCTGGGAGGACCCCCGAGGTGTTCCGAGACCAACCGAGAGACGTAGTCTCTCTAGCGTGTCCTGGGTCTTCCCCAGGGCCTCCTCCCAGTCAGACATGCCCAAAGCACTTCCCTGGGGAGGCGCCCAGAAAGCATCCTTACCAGATGCACGAACCACCTCAACTGGCTCTTTTCAATGTGGAGGAGCAGCGGTTCTACTCAGACTCTCTTCTGGATAACTGAACTTCTCACCCTGTCTCCAAGGGAGAGTCCAGCTATCCTGCTGAGGAAACTCATTTCAACTGCCTGTATCCACAATCTCATTCTTTTGGTCACTACCCAAAATTTGTGACCATAGGTGAGGGTAGGAACGTAGACTGACCGGTAAACAGAGAGCTTTGCCTAACAGCTCAGCTCCCTCTTCACCACAATGGACCAGCACAGAGTCCACAAGACTCCAGATGATGCACCAATCCATCTGTCAAACTCACGCTCCATTCCCTCATTGGTGAACAAAACCCCGAGATACTTGGAACCTCACCCTCGACCCATACTGTCCATAACAGGACTGTTATGGAGTATTTTTGGATGTGTTTCTGCACACATACAAGAATATTTACAACTTACTTGAATAAAAGTGATTTGAGCAGATTCTAGACCTGGGGTATCCAATCCTAGTTCTGCAGGACTACTTACCTACTTACAGGCCGAGATGGGTAGAGGTAGAGTAGTCGACTTGGTTTGAAAGTCTCCATTCGACTCCCCGCCATTCCCATGTCGTGGTGTCCCTGACCAAGACACCCAATCCCTAATTGCTCCTCGGGTGCCCAAATATCCGCCCACTGCTCCACCTGGGTGTATCTCAGGTGTGATGGGTTAAATGCGGAGAACTAATGTCGTCATTGTACAGCATACAATGATAACACATAGCACCTATTATTACCCGTTTTAAATGTTTCTCTGCTCCAACGCACCTGCTTCTGCAGAACTTAAAGATCCATTCACTTAATCAGGTGACTTGGAGCAGAGAAACAAAGTGGCCCTTGAAGACCAGGATTGGACATGCCAGTTCTCTTTTTCGAAGGATTATTCTTGCGGTCGAGGTTCTATGCGCAACTCTGTTTTATTTTTGGAAAGCAGTGAAAACTAGTTTGCTGAACCACTGCGAGGTTAGAACATCCTTTAACCCAACATGAAAGCTTAGTTTTATGTTGGGAAGCTTTTGTTTGCCTATCGAGATGGCTTGCGACAAAGTGCCTGGATGTGTGATGTCACATGAGAACTAAGTATACCTAATCGTTGAAGCTGCAAAGTACAAGCTAAATGGATGTCTGTAGTAGTTTTTAACTCCGGCCTCTCCGTGTAAACAACATGGGACATAATTCTTCCATTATTAATGCAGTTTTTACATTGTTATCAATCTCCTGTAATTTTTATTACGAGTATTCTGGTTGTGTTGCAAGTGTAAACCCCTTGTGCGCAGGAACACAAACCTGAACACTTCAGTAGAAACTAGGCCAGTGTGGTGTGTGAACACAGCTTCTTGAGTGCGTTTGACTGGGTAACGTGATGGGAGCCGAGATGCTGAGAAATAGGACACTGCGGTACAACGTAGATACCTAAATGAGTGTCTACACGGGTCTAACTAGGTTACTTGTTTACCGAGACATTGACCTTAATATAAACTCACAGATGCCCCATTGTTTCTGCAGGGTTTGGCCATGGAACCAACGTGGTGAATTATGAGGGATTTGCCTGGCATGAGTATTGCTTCAACTGCAAGAGATGCTCCCTCTCATTGGCCAACAAGCGCTTCGTCCTCAACGGAGATCACATCTACTGCCCCGACTGCGCTAAGAAGCTGTAAATGGCACAATTAGCCGAAATGAGTTTGAAGTAGAGTCGTGGAAAAGTGCCTCTTTAGAGTCACCGAGTTCAGCTTTGATTAGAAAATATGAACTTATTTCTGTATAAGCATGCATGCAAACAGTTTTGTTGAAAAACAAGTTTTTCCAACTTACTCAGCTCTAGCTTCCACCTGTCTAGTTTGTTTCAGTTTTAAATGTTAGTTTCTAACACTTTTTTTAAGTGCCTTACTGGATTCGTTTCCCAGATTAAATGCTGGCTGCTGCTCAAACAGCTTTGATGAATAATCTGCCCCATCTCTGTATGTTTGAAAATATTTTAGAGTACATTTAAAACACAGTTTGTGACTGATGCTGAAAAAAAAAAGCATGTATTCAAGCTTGATGTTTGATGCAAAATAAAAGAATGTGACAAGCTTCAGATGTTTATCCCCCCCCCCCCCAACAAGAAACTGAAATTGACAAAAGGATTATTTTTGCAAGACTTTATTGTTTTAACAGTCTGAATAATATTTGCTCTCTTTAGATATATTTACAATACAGATTTAATTTGTGGACATGGGTTTGATATTAAATCTTCACAGTCACCCTGGTTGATTGTCGAGGCCGAGGTAAAGACACGCTTAGTTGACTAATGCAACAAAAAACAAAACTAAATCTTGATCTAAGGCACTGTTCTATTTTATCACTAGTTAATTTTGAGGGCAAAAAGCTATTCGTTCTGTCTTTGCGACCTGAAAGATGCAGGAGGATCTGAAAAATACACACAATGAGTTTAAGCAGCAGCTGTATGAGCTCCTCATGGGTGGACAGTGGAACAGGAAGGAACGTTTGGGTAGATGTCATTTAAAGTTTAAACTAAGACAGAACCATGGGTGTTTTTTGTCTCTAAATATCACAGCTCATCTAATTTGTACAGTAAAGCTACTCCTCAGTAATCTTTCACCTTTGATAGTGCAGAGTCTCATAAAAGTTTGATAAAAGTATATACAAATGGCTGAACGCGAGCGGCTCTTAGAGATATAGCTAAAGGACAGTTTATGGAGGCTGTTACATTCACTGAGCTTTGTGATCAAAGCAGAGATCATTTAAGCTTGTAGAAAGAGATTTTAGTTATTCAACAACAACAAAAAAAGGCAGAAGTCCTCAAACCTCATCGTCATCGACTAGTCAAGCAGAGGGAACCTGAACATTTCAACACAAAAAACAAAATGAAAAACAGAGACGTCAAACCTGACCCACGTGTTTTGATAAATCGTTACTACAGTAGATCAGCTGAAACCTGAGCTGATGTGCCAATCATTAACCACTCACACCTTAATTTATGGACACATATAAAACACATTTTGACGACATTAAAAGCACCATGAGGAACAACCATGACTCGCATCGTAGGTCAAACATGGCTCTACATGCCCTTCAAACAGCCAACTGTTACACTCCATGTTTAGATAATATAGTTCTGCACTTTGTCTTTTGCTTTGCAGAGCACATGGGCTACAGAGGCTGATGCAAATTTTAGGGGTCCCAGAGTAAACCAGCTGAATGCAGCCAACCTAAAACAGGTCACCACTCAAACAGAAACCAAAAAGACTTCATTAATCCACAACCTGAGCCGCTTCATCCAAAACATGGCTTAAACGGCCTAATACTGATTAAATACACGACATGGTAACACTTAAATAAATGTAGAAATGCATTCTCATATACAAACAAACAGCTCATTCCCACTCTATACAAAGCTGAAATGCATTTGGTCAGATGACGCAGCTGAGGTGAGGAGCAAAAGAGGAGAAGAAGCGGATGACTGGATGAAAAACCAGATCACTTAAATCTGATTACTTGTTTTAGAAAAATAAATAAAAATCAAGTCAAATAGTCCAGTTGTGAAGCTGGAGAGAAGTTTTGACTGAAACCAACTTCACCTGTGTGTTAAAGAGTATGTTAGTTATTCATACAACTGGGTGACCCAGAGGAGGTGGAGAGGAGTAACTTATGAGAATAAAACTCTAAATGTTTGATCACATAAAATCTATTCACAGATGTAAACAAATGAAAAATCTAAATTGACCACAAACCCTATTTCCACACACAGCTGGAACTTTACTGAACTTTTCTTGTTGACGAGGCCATCTAGTGGCCAGAAGAAGAAAAAACAGGACACTGGGTGGAAATTTAGGAAGAATGCAGCTCTGAAAGATGAAACGAGCAGAAGAACAAACAAAACCCACTCCTAAACACACGTGCCTGAATGAGATTGCTAAACTGTGTGCGAGGGAGCTTCAGCATTAATAGTTTAGCATATTCGCACATCAAGAGTGGGAATAGAAGGTAAGGCCATGTTGCTGGATGCTGAAAAAAAAAAAAAAAGCAGCCAGTCAAGTAAATTTAGATGAACCGCATGCAATCAAGTCCGACGCCACGTCCCACCAAAACCAGAACAGAACGTGTTAACAGACGTTTTCAGTAACTGACAAGATTTACATGACCTGATGAGAGTTTGTCCTAGAATATTATCAGAGAACAAAGAACTATGGTAAACATTTCAGAAAATAATTACAACAACAACGAAGCAAAAAAAAAGGAATAAATTAAAACAATGCACCCCTATCAAAGGCAAAATTCTTACAAAACGTTAAGTTTGAACACAAAACTGAAAACAAAAAACACAAGAGGAAGAGGAAAAATACCTGAAGCAAGAATGGTGGAAGAATATGAACAAGTTCCCTAAAGCGTGGCATTTTCTCATATATACAATTTATGTTTCTTCGATGTGTTGGATGCAAACGTAGCACTTAGGGTGGTCTTTCCACTTCACCTTGTGCAGCTTCCACAGGAAGAGGAGGAGGAAGCTGTTTGGAACGAATAGAATAATTTTAAAGTATCTCAGCTGGACAGGAACTTTTTGGAGTGCAACTTTTTGAAGCTTCTCAGCAATGACTGCAGCATCAAATTTCTGCAAAGACCAGAACTACAGAACATGAGTCCAAAGTAAACTTAGACGAAGCCAAGGAGTGAATGTGGTTCCTCACCTGGCATGGCTTCTATGGGTTGATTAGAGGAATGCAGGGTGTTGTCCTCAAAGACTACCCTGGTTCCATCTACACTCCCATCACAGTTGATTAAAACCTGGTTACAATCCTCGGATTCTACAAGAGGCCGAGTTTTGGAATGAACGTTGACGTCAATGAGCTCCTCGAAGCTCCACTGGTTTGACTTCCCGTTGAGACTTGAGACCAGCTCTGCCTTGGTGGAGTCCTGCTCGTTCAGGAACTCCGAGTCCTCAACAAGGTGGCCTTTAGGGACTGGGCTGCAGGGGGGAAGAGACATTTAATGAGAGGATAGAAGAACTGGGAGACAAACGCCAGAAAGTAAGCTGCAGAGTCACGAGTCAGACACGATGAGTGGACTAAAAGTTTCCTTCATGTGGCACTCGGTCTCAATCAATCCCACTGAAGAGTCAAGTACGGACACTTCTCAAATCCTTCCAAGGTCCGAGAACTCAACAAGAAGTAAAATGAAAACATAAGATTACATTTATAATGGCCACTGAAAAGGCTAATTTAGCGGTTTTTCTACATTTAGGTTTATGTGATGAGTTTTTCATTACAGTAGTCCCTCGCTACTTCACGGTTCGACTGTCGCAGACTCGCTCCATAGTGGTTTTTCAAAGTAAGATTGAACACGACACACAATTGTCTGACTGATGGATGAGCCGCACGATCGGAATGGAATGTTTTTTATTTAAAATAAATTTAGCACCTTACTGCACCTTTGTGCAGCTCGCATGTGCAGGGAGAAGCTTCCTCCTGCAGTGTCTCATCTCTACTCTGCAGCAGAGAAGTGGGCGTGGCCAAGAGGGCTGGCAGGTGGCCGAGAGAGCAGAGATCATGACATGCTGTGCTCTTTTAGAGCGTTCAGAGTTTAAAAACATTGTTTAGAATATTGCAGGAGTGTAGGAAGGGTTTAAAACGCCTTTATATATACTAAAAATACTACTTGCTGTGTGTGTACTCTGTTTGGTAAATCACACAGAAACAAGTATAAACCACAAGTAAAACACTTTGTACACAGCAGCAGCACAAACTAAATACAACTATTAAGCTTTACGCTAAATGTGTTCCAAAAGACAAGATTTGTTTAGATTGTAATGCGATCATTTTTTAAAAGACATTTGTTGACTTTGTGTCATACAATACAGTCTCTTATCAAAGTCATGCCTTTTGAACCGTAAGGAGGGAAGTTATTAAAGAGGAAAAACTGGAAGAGATGTTTAGTAGAGATTTTTAATATTTTATATCACTTAATAATGTAGCTTTTTTTTTTTTTTTTTTTTTTTTTTTACATTTTCTTCCATTTATTTATTTTTTCAATTTATAAGCTTTCTTTTAAGATTTTCTACTGTTGTCACCGTTCTTTGATAAAATTAGGTCTCTCTTGCGAATGAGTCCTCGAGGCTCAATGAGACTAACCTGAATAAATAAAGGTTGAATTGAATGTTTTGCACCAAAATGAGGCACTGTAGAAAAATGACATTACTACTACATCGGGAATTAGAAATAAAGGCCCAACTCTAAAATTTTACCCCTAAGCACTGAAAATAAATATATTAAGATTTGAACTTTACTTTCTATTTTTGTGTTAGCAGGATTTTGATGCAGCTGTTGGTGCTCGATATGAACCAAAATAGAATTTCTTGCAGTCGAAAAGGACCATTCCACACTTATACTGGGACAAAACCGTTGCCAATATTCACAAAAGGTGTTTGTGGTCGTACCTCTCTGCCTGAGTCTCATCTGTGCCATTGGAGTTCTCCTTGTCTTCTGTCTCCAACTGTCCATTCACACTGCCCAGAGGTTCTTCTCTGGCCATCAAAGGCTCATCAGAGGACAGATCTTTATCATCCTCCATCGTAATGTCATCCGTTTCAGCTACAGCAATAAAGGACATGGATAATATATAAACATTTATGAAGAGTAAATAATAATAATAATAAACTTTATTTCTATAGCACCTTCCAACAACACCTTGCATTGACCAAGGTGCTTTACAAGATAAAACAAGATTAAAAACAGGACACAGCAAATCAATATAAAATAATAAATAAATAATAATAAACAATAAATAACACAAAATGGGGGGGGGGGGAGATTTGAATACACAATATTTGTATATTATATTTGTTTTCATTAATCAGGTTACCAATATCATCAAGTCGTGAGCAAAATGTACAACAAACCATTGATGTGAACATAAAGAAATCATATCTACATGATACTATAGAGTTAAGAAAAAAATGTGTCCGAAAAACAAACCTTTTAACTGCGAAAGCACACGGACAAATAAAGCGTTTTGCTCAAACAGCATATTGGTGCCATAAATGAGCACATAAAACAAAGTAAAGAATGTTTCAAAGGAAAAGACATCTTTGATTTAGGTGGTAAAGGAGGGAGACACCTACTTCTGGTGTCACCCATCATCTGGTCCACACTTTCATCTCCATTTTCCTCTCCTTTCTGCACATGAGAAAATGAACAAGAAGTCAGCTCTCAGTGTGCCAGCACAAACATCGTGTGAGCTGATTCAAGCGAAGCTCACCTTGAAGGCATTCTGATCCCCCTTTCTGGTTCTTTTCATTATTTCATCGATTCTCTGAAACCGGAAAGAGAGACCTTTTTTAAAATAAAAGTTTTAATTCATTCAGGTTCACCCAGTATTTATGCAGCCACAAGTTGAAGGTTCTTTACAAGATGACTGAGCCAAAGAGACATTTTTGAAAGTTTTAAACTATCGTTATACCTATAATTTGTAGTTCTACTTAAAACAAACCTGCCTCAACCACTACAAATACTTGACATAAAAAATAAAAAGATTTATTTACAATACATGAAGTTTGTGTTCACCATACCTTTTTCCTTTCCATGCGCTCCTGCTGGCTCTGCTGCATAATGCGGTCCCGTTCTTGTCGGACTCTCTCCGCGTCCTCCTGGGCCTTTGCCTCAGCCTCCTCTCGTTCCTTCTGGAGCTCGGCCTGCCTTTTTACTTCTTCTTCTTCCATTCTTGCTCTTTCCTCTTCTGCGATGCGAGAATCTTCTTCTTCTTTAACTCGTCTTTCCTCAGCCAGCCTCTTCTCCTCCTCCAGGCGTTTCTGTCGGGCCTCTTCTGCTAAACGCTCCTCTTCTTCTTTTCTTTGTCTGAGATGATCAAAAAAAATAAAATTATTGAATTAAATTAAATTTAGAAAATCTAAACCTGTAATTTTTTTTTGCTTGCTTGCTCTCAGTGAAGGCAGACGCTTCCTCCTCCGTCCTTGCTTTGCTCTTTGTCTTGTGAACCTTTTTCAGAGCTTTTTTCAAACCTTTCGAATTGTAAACTATGGATTTGTTCAGCTGGTCTCTCAACCAATTGATCAAATTTTCTCAACAAGGAAACAGAGTGAGAGCCCTCTTACCTCGACGGAAACACAAGTGGATTTATGATAACTGGATTCTGCTTTTTGGAGTTGGTGGAAATCTGGATTATCAACAAACTCAGAAACGTCAGCAGCTGTTTAAGCTGCTTGGAATGTGTGTGCTGGGCTTGGCAACACTCAGACTCTGTGCGAACTATCTGTGGACCTGTATCAGAGCCGAGCAGACTGATAGTATCAGGACTGTGGAACTTTGTGACAGTGTTCAAAGATGGTTGGAAGGAATAGATCTTGAAGAAGTTGTAAGCTCAACTTCAGCATAAGTAAGCACAATTCGGCTGTTTGGAGTCGTCATGAGATGTACTAGCGAGACTGTAAAGGCAGATGCGGAAATTAACGAGCTCGGCCTGACCCAAAACAATGTTGAAATCTGAATCTGGACCTGGCCTTGGAAGGCTGACTATCTCAATTTCTCCTTGGATGCTATGGAAACAAGACACTCTGCTCCCCTCCCCACGCCCTCCCTGAGGACGTGGATCTGTGTCAGAGCTCAACCGAGCCGGCTGATAAACAAACACCTCTTATCAGGACTATAGCTAGGGGGGACGGCTCTGAACTGTACTGTGCTACGACTTCCCCTTAAGCTCATACCTTCGCTGGCCTCCCTCATTGCCTCCCCTGGTGCAGCAACCTAGGAGATGCAAAGGCGCCAAAGGGCTAAGTCGATCCTCCCCCCGTGTTTCTTCTATCTGTAAAAAAGGGTTGCGCCTCCCGAGGCCGGCGGCCTCAGTCACCTCCATCTCCCCCATGTCTGTTGTTTTGTTTTCTTAGACGGCTGTAAATGAAAAGTAATTTTGTTGTGCTCGGGTGCAATGATAATAAAGCTAATTCTGATTCTAATGCTCGTCAAGTTTGACTGCTTCCTCAGCTTTAGAAATTCAGTTACACTTCTGAGGAATACATAAATGACAAACATCTGTGTTTTGTTAGGTTAAGAATATAATTTTCTTGTTTTTAATTGGATCTGCTGTGATTACGTTTCAGAAATAAAAAAAATACCAGTAAAAAAAAGTTTAGATCAACAGTATTCTGTAAACATTGTTATGCCTGACAGAACAATGTTTATAGACAAAAACAACAAAAAAGCATTTCTTCAAGGAGAAAAGGATTTGCCGAGATGCTTCAATATTCACCTCTCCTCCTCCTCTTTTTGTATTCGGAGCTGCTCCTCTCGCTCCTTCTGCTCTCTCATCAGTCTGCGGTTTTCAGCCAGGATCTTGGCGGCCTCAGCGGCTGAGTTTGTGCCACTTGCAGGTTTTGAGTCTGGTAGGTAAAGAAGCCAACATAAAGTTTAGCACCTCCTGTCATCAAGTCATCCTTATATCAACGCCGTGCAGGCCCAGCATTTGCTATTTTACTAAATAAATAATAACCAAGAGGAGAGAGGAACTGATGGGTTAGGGAGGCTTTCCGTCACGAAGAAATCAGGAAATTGGTCTCGTGCAGCATTTTACAGCGTTCCATGCTTATCTTTGATCTACCCAAGAGAATTGATTGAAACTATTTTCAGAACACAATTTCAGAAAATGCAATAAAAAATGCAATAAGACAAATAAATGTGTTTTATATAATATATTGCTTCTTTAAATATCCACATTCAACTTTTAGTATAGTTACTTTATACTAGATAATTCATAAACTTTATTACTGGACTCACTGTGATTATTGATTGCTCATATATTATACATATATATAGGCTTAGTTCACTACAATTAAACTATTTGACAGAATAAATAAAAACATTCCCAGCAACACACAAAGAAGATCATCTTGTTTTTGTATTTTTCATGTATACCATGGGTGTCCAAAGTGCGGTCCGAAGGCCATTTGCAGCCCATGGGAGTGATTTTGTGCAGCCCACAACTGCAGTTGGCATCATTTTGACAGCAGGCTGAGGTTGATGCAGACTTTCTGCAAATTAGTTAGTAATCCTTTTTTATATAATGTTTAGGTTTAACAGCAAAACTGATGACAATTTTCTCAAAGTGAGCAATATTAAGAAAATAAACATTTGGCTATAACCGTTTTATTTTCACTTCATGGTACAGGGCATCAAAATCCTTTACTGATTTCTACCAGAAAGGACTTTTGGATAATGATTCATAAAACTTGGCTAAATATTGCAGTTGATAAAATAATCAAGAGGGAAACTGGACATTTTTAAATGACTATAATGTGGTATCATCTGCATACGAGTTGATCAACTTTATCAAACCTTCTATGAATCTGTTGAAGCGACTGACAGCTGGACCATTTTTCAGAACTTCGATCAGCCATGTGGACCATAGACAGCACAAAAGGCTGATCGACCCCCTTTTAAAAGGACACTTACTCATGAGAACAGACTCAACTGAACTTTCCAAACAAAAGAAAACAACAAACATAGACCCAACAAATCAAATAAATCAAATTATTTTTATTAAAAATATAAGCTTAGTGTTTATGAGGCTTTTCATGTTTTGGATCTACAACAATTTAAAACTCTTTCTCCACCAAAATTAGTTAACTTTTGCTCACGTTGAGAGTTAAATTCACATTTTTGTGGCCCACGAGTCCTTTAATCTTGATAGTTTTAGCCCATACATGAAAATGTTTGGACATCCCTGATGTATACAGTCACGGAGCATCAGTGTAACGTTTCACCAGCACAAAATCTCATTCATTTAGCAGCAAACACTTTTGTCCACAGGGTGGCAGAAGCAATCATAAATCCAGATCTACAACAGGATGCGACTCCAGCTGGGACTTAATGGATCTCCTGCTCCACTGGGATTTATCGCAGCCAAAGCTGCTGCTGCCACGTCAGTGTGCAACACACACAAAACATTTTTTAAATGTATATTCTGTTAGAGAAGCTGTACAGCAGCTCTTCTTCAAAGTGACTCCTTTTTGAAGCAGCTTCACACTCAGCTCACCAGGTGATTTTTAAAAATAAAGACCTTTTTTTAGATTTAAAAAAAAATTGTCCCAACAGCTGCAACAATTTTTTTATGCATCAAACACATTTACTATTACAAAACATGAAATGCTTGTCAACTCTGAATGCAACAATTTGTCATCATTCAAACAGCTTTTCAAAGCTCTGAAGACCTGAATTTAAGAGCTCATTTGTTTTACTTCAGCTAGCACATCAATTTAGTGTAAATATAACAGGTGGAGAATAGCTACACAATAGTAGGAGTAGCAAGATGCCATTCTGTAGCAACAATAAATTACTTGCTAAAGATTAAAGACTGATTAATCACGGGTAATTGCTTTGAACAAGACGTGCCAAAGTATAATAATAGAATGATTATATGTTACTTTAATCGCCTGTCAGAGTAGAAGTACGTTTGGACCAATGTAACTAAAAGCTTCTGATAGCCACAGCTGAGATGTGTAAAATTTCAGCTAGTTCAGCAGGGGCAGCGGATTTGCTGAAATTATATTTAGATAAACCAGAACATTGTTGTTGTGTCTGAATAATATTTAGTGAGTTTTTAAAAAAGAGTGCATCATATCCGTAACGTGTTTGTACTTCTTATCGCTGTTCACAAACTCACCATCTTTCTCTTTGGTCTTGCTTAGATCAGAGGACTGTGGAGCCACAGCCTGAACAGGACCTAAATCCTTGGACTTGGAGTCCCTCTTCCTCAGGGTTGGGGGTCCTGTTGGAGTGAGAGATGGTTTCTGGATAGGAGGGGGCTTAGCTGATGTGGGTTGGGGCGATGGAGGGCGCTGTTTCATTGAAGATGGTGAAGGAGGACGCATCCTGGGACTCTGCCTGTTTAAGGACATATTGGGTGTCATAAATTTTGATTTACAGGACGTTCAAGGCTACAACAACCTCTCCAGCAACGCAAATATAAAATAATGAGTGAGAGAACCAGTGTAAAGACTTACTTGTTAGCTGCTGGAGAGGGGGTCCTTTTAGGACCTGGATTGTGGGCTGGGGAAGGGGAGCGGTTGCGTACCAGAGTGGTGGATGGGGAGGCAGGACGCTGCCCCTGAGGTGATGTTAACTGCTTGTCTTTCTGTAGTTTTTTATTTTTTTTTACATGCACAAAAACAGAGGTAGAAAAGATTAAAATTAACTCAATTCAGATCATATTAGGAACATAAACGCTTTAAAAATCAGCCAAATTAACTTAAATGTTGTAAATAAATGTTATTTATAAGTACAGTAAATAAATAAACCCTAAAAATCCTAAATTCACAAGTTTTAGGATTTACTCCTCTACAGAGATTAATGTTATTGTGGGGTCATTTATGAGTCTGCTGTGGACAGAAGTATCTGTAAACAGTTTAGTTAAGACGTCATATATTTTGTGCTTAAGTTTAAGAAAAAGGGGCAAAAGTGGAAATGAATGTTTTTAAGTCTCGAGGCCATGAGAAGAAACTGGTTTTTCAAACATGTGCAAGTAACACACCTAATCAATTTTAAAGTCACTGCACTATCTTTAGCCATGTAAATATAGTGACAAAGATTAATCACTTATATGACTCTGAAACAGGCACAACTTGGCCTAAATGGAAAACTGTGTTTATATTACAATACTGTTTTTATGAGCAACTGTTTTATCCTTTGATATATGAGCTGAATACCATATGTTCTTTGAACAATAATAAGTGGAAGAAGAAACAGAAAGTCTTATTATGTGGAACAAAATTAATTTCTTTCTCAGGTGTATCAAATAAATATTGTAACATGAAGAGTTAACACAGATCATCCGATGGAGTGCAGTGACTGTTTTTTAACATCTACAAACAGCTTTTGTAGACAAGAATATAGTTAAATGTATATTTTATAGCAATGTTGGTCACTTAAAAATACATATAGTTTTTTTTAAAAGCATTTAGTGTGAAAAATAAATTAAAATAGACAAAGCCCAGCCCTGAGGTTTCTTTATGATCAGATGAAATCAGCAGAAGTCACCCTGCTTGGAACTCAACTATCTATAAATTCATCAAAATATTTTACAGCTACAACTGTATACCGTATTTTCTGCCATACCCGTCGCACCGCCCTATACGTCGCATCAGTCCAAATAGGACTAAAAAAGTGGACAAATCCATAAATGTTGCTTCGCCGTATATGTTGCATCTATTATGTGTCACTGCTGACAAGACAGAAATGTGGGCCCAACCCGGAAATGTGGGCCGGTGTTGTGGCAAAAATTGATGGTCTGTCAAATGGCGGCCGCGGGAGCGTGCACTGGAGGACTTTAACAAGAATTTAACAAGATTAGCACTAAAAAACAATTATTTATTTGCTCTAAATTATAGTAAAGATGTGTCTCAGTCTAACGTTTGCTTAATAAAAGGACTAACGGTCAAATCAACTGTAATCGCTGCCTCGGTGCTCCGGGAGCGCACAGAGGGAAAAAAAAAAAAAAGAGGAACGCCGCTCGTTTCTTTGAAATTTAACAAGAAAAGCACCTAAAACAATTATTTATTTGCTCGAAATTATAGCAAAGGTGTGTCTCAGTTGAACTTTTACTTAATAAATGCACTTTAATGGTCAAACCAGCTGCATTTCGCCTGAGCGATGCAGCTGGTTTGACGGTTCCAAGCAGCGAGCAGAATGACGGTGGGGGGAGTATAGCAAGCCGATTGTGTCATTAATAGCTGGTGAAGATTCTCCATCCTCCAGGACATGGTAAATTCAAAAATAGTTAAAGACAAAAACAATAACATATAAAGTATAATAAATAAAGTCCAGTTTTTTTTTTTTACTTTTTTGAACTTATCATTAAAGCCACATTTACCTATTACATGATACAACAGCATGCCATACTGCTACTACAACTCTGCTGCCATCTAACAGCTGAAAATGGTACTGTCAATTCTTTTTTCAGTCTGAATGAATGAAAATGGTCATATCTCAGCAGAATATTGGTTTATAAATATGGGGAAAAATCCATAAATATGTCGCTTCGGCCTATAAGTCGCACGGCATGCAACTTATTCAAAAAAACTGTGACTTATAGGCCGAAAAATACAGTAACTGTGAGGTATAAGACAGCAGAGATCTGTAAATTCTTCTGTTTACTCATGACATTGGAAATTCTGATCATCTCCTACCAAAATGTAAAAGACAGACAGTGAGACTTTAAAAAGCATGCTGTAGGGTCAGGGTGGGTCTGCTTTGCATGGCCTCATCAGTCCATAATCAGGCCACCCTTGTTGCATGCTGTTACAATGAAGCCCTTCACAAGCCCGGAGGAGGATGAGGAGGAGCAGATTATGAGAGAGCCAGGCACAAGAGGCCACTAAATGTGAACATGGAGGCAGACTTGCAGTAGCACAAGCTTCTTCCATGGTAAAAACTAAATTAACATGCGAGTGACCTGAAAAGTTTAAAGAACAACAGGAACTACATTTCCCTATGGTCAGCGTCCCATAGAAGTAATTTGACAGGCAAATGTAGTCAGATGTGCATAAATCAGAGGCTGTCCTGCATTTGTTTCTTCTTCATCTGATTTCAGTGTTAAAAAAACACAACTCATTTATCAAACAGGATAAAACTGGGTTTTAAAGCAGCTTCTAAAAAATAATAGCTCTTTTTACAACTATCACATTCGTGTTTTCAAAAATTTAAAGACTAAAAGAAATAAAAGCTAATGGTTCCAGTAAAACAAGTAATTTGTACAATTTGTTGTGTTTAATAGTTTTTCCCCCCCATTTCCAAAGGTATATTTTATATGGATTATCATACACTCAAAAAACCTTAAAATCACTATTCTGAATACAGTTGAGATTAGATCTATCATCTAAAAAAATCTCATCCAGGTAATTTCCATCAGGAAGCACAAACTAATATAGACACAGATGTAATTACTACAGCTTTAATTACAGCTTTAAGATATAACGTTTGCTGATAAAAATCAAAATTTTTTAAGTCTTTTATTGGTAAATCAGACTGAAATAGTTGCATTTGTTGATTAGTGGTGTTAGCAACATTAAGTTTAAGAAGACCTCACCAGAGAAGTGTCGAGGGCCTCGTTGGCCGACTTTGACGTTGTCATGGCGCTTTTCTGACGGTCGGTGCTGCGGCTGCGCACGGGTCCCCGCGGTGGGTGCAGGAGGCTGGCAGAGGCTGAACGAGGACACAGGTGATACTCTGGTAAAGGACACAGTCATCGCAGGGCCAGGGTAGCACAACCAACGGGAGGGGTGAGAAGCGGCCGAGATGGGCAGCAAGGCAGCAAAAAGCAGGGGGAGAATGAAAAGGATCGATAGAAAAACGGAGTAGGAGAGAAAAATTAAAGGGGGCGGGAGAGGGTAGATGATGGTAGGAAACAAATGCAGGAGTGTTTTTGTGAGGGGGGAAAGAGCACACAAAAAGCACTTTGTTAGATATAGCACTTTATGCAGGAAGGTCGATTTCTAAAAGCTTTGACTTAGCAGAAAACTTGAGCTGAAAGCAACAGTCTTATACTGTGTATATATATATATATATATATATATATATATATATATATATGTACATATTTAAAAAACAAAACAAAAAACACCCTTCTTTTACCATATAATCTGCACAAAACATAAATCTGAACACCAGCACACCAAACACCAACATTGAACACACATATTACAGCACAATGATGCGTTAGTACACAGAACACATAATGTGTCACCTTGTTTTCCTAAAAATAAAAAAATAGGGTCTTTAGCATTTCCTGCTACGATTACGCAACAGTTTCATATTTGGCAGAAAACTTGCCGAGATTTACATGCTTCTACTTTTACAATAAAAGTGGTAGCTATGTTATGTAAATAAGTAGCAGAGGAAATCGTGTTCTCTGTTTTGCTGTGTCAGATTGAGAGATTAACCCTCATAATCCAGAAACCTAAACAACTCTTCCTGCTAAACCAACGTGCTCTGTAATTCAATCTGACTGCGCAGTGAGCCGCAGCGATGACTATGAGACCTAGCCCGTCACAAGCTTCCATGGATGAGTCAGGTTTCAGCTGAAGCTATACTTAGCTGAGGATCCATAGCTGTTAATGGATTCATAATGGCCTGTCAATAAACGCCATAACCTAAAACAAACACTGGGGGAAAAATACAGCAGTAAGAACAGAGGTTTGAGAACTGAGTCAGTGCTTCTTAATTTTTTTTAAAGCATTAATAATGCGTGTTATTTTGCTATAATATTAAATATAAAACGTCCTCCGCTGATGACACAAACATCTTTAAAGCGTGCATAAATGTAAAATATCAGCAATGGATTACTTTTAGCTTACATGCCTTTGAAGAGAGGAGAAATGTTGTTTAACAACTAGTATCCATTCTCCACAGAACAACAGTCTCATTCCAATGTAACAAGAACCAGTAGGTAAGCAGCTTGTGAGTAAATCTCTCAGCACGGACCATGAGGCTCCTTTGACGGAGAGAAATGCCCGTGGCAAAGTCTCCTGGACCGCTCAGCTCAACAAACTGTTTAAAGCTCTGCAAGTGCGCGTGAGCTGGAATTGTGTTTATCTCAATATTCACCAAATGCAATACACCACGTGTCTAATTTACAGAAAGTAATGACTGTGCATACTGTATTTTTCATACTATAAGGCACACTTAAAATCATTTAATTTTCTCAAAAATCAACAGTGTATTAACTCTGTATTATGTATTAACCCTGGTTGTGCTTACTGACCTCAAACTGATTTTATGTGGTACAACTGAACAATGTTGAGAGTTATTGTGAATGAGTTGAATAAAGTTCGAATTATCTGACCGTTTTGTTTTGTTTAGTGCGCCTTATAGGCCGAAAACTACGGTACACAATAAACTGCTGATCATGAACACTGCCGCATTTTAAAAGGGGGAAGCTACCAACAATTCCTGTAATTCCACCACCACCGAGGTTATAATGAATTTTTCCAAAAGCATGATAGTTTACTGCATGGCAACGTGTTGAATTTATCTAGAGAAGCAATAATCAGGGTGACTGAGCTTGTTTTTAAATTGTAAAATGCATGTTCAGTAGGCAGGGCAGGCATTTGTGTTTAGCCCCCCGTCTTCTCCGTCAGGATCTCCTAAGAGGAGGTTACCTGAAGCATCTGTTCCTTCAGCGGACAGGGCGGCGGCGCTCTTGCTCCTAGCTAGTGAGGCCTGGGTGGGGGTGAGGAGGCGACTAAGGACCCCTTCATCCACAGCACTTGCCGGTGGCCTGCGGGCTACACGGCCGAAAAGTTCCCAAAAAACAGGCAAGGAGAACGAAAGGGGGCCAAGAAGGAAAGGTTGGACAAGAGTGTGGAATAAAGACAAAAGAAAGGTCACCATGTGATTCAACAGGAAAGAATCAATGTACAGAACCAAAGGTTATATCTCTGTAATCATGCATGGATTCCTCATCAGTTGTTATCCTTTCAGCTTTTAGGGATATTAAATGAAAGGGTGTAGTCAATTACAGGACACCATGGATAAGTACGGAGATAAACTGTCTGGTAACTCAAAATAATTAAAATCACAGTCGACGTGTACAGTGAGGACAAATCAATGGTTCCTTGGAAAAATAAACCGTTAGTTCCTTCAAAGAAAGCAGGTGAATGTGTAAAAGTGAAACAGACCCAAGGAACAGGGTGAGTGTCATCAAGCAAAAGGTCTTTAGCTTCTGCTTCACAATGTTTTCTTTGAGACAGACGGTGGCAAATGTACCAATCCAAATCAGAAAACTGAGCCAATCGTCATGATGCTTCTCGATTTTACAGCAGAAATAAAAGAGCCATTGCTTTTATGAAATGAAAACAGTAAAACTTTCCCCACTGGAGTTGTTTTTGCTACCAACTACAAAGGATAAAGACGAGAACTTTTAGAGTGGATAGGTTGAATTTATCACTTCTCTAAAAACGAGCGTTTTAAAAAGGGAGAATGCAGATTTGTGCTTTTTAGTAGCGCTTTACTGAGGCAGCATCTGCTAGTGACAGTCTGGATTTTTGTTAATTGGTGACAGGCTGGCATCATGTTGTTCTTCATCCAGGTACAAATCTCAGGGTATCAGTAATGAAAGCTGTGTTGTAGTATAGGTTAACTGCACAAAAAAACACAACTTGTACAAGACAGGAATATTATCACAGAATCCGTGGCACAATGTGAGCAATTGAGCTGAACGACAAACAAAAGCAGTCGTGGTTAATTGTAACAAAGACTTTGACACAACGCCGTTGTCAGTTTGTGCACTCTGGTTTCTGAGAGTGGCACTGACACACACCGAACTGAAGCAAGAGCACGTTATATCCAGTGTGAGGTCATCTTGGAGGGAGAAGACAACCAGCAATTTGAGACAACTGAACAAAGAGCTTTGTTAGAGCAGACGGTACACAACAAAACTACCCGTGTGTTGATGCTTTAGACAAGAAAAAATGGAAAAAAGGTTAAAAAAAAAAAAGGAAAATCAATTGTTAATGAGAAACAACACAGAGCTGGATCTGCTGGTTGAGAGTTATACCTTTAAAGTAAATTTTCGAGCTTTCGAACGGAAAGATTTAAAGGTTAAGAAAAACTTGCAACAGAAGAAGATATTGACAACAAAAAGTGGAAACCATTCTGAACTCCATGACGGTTAATTAAGATAAATAAGCATTTCTCCTAAAGGTCTTAGTAGCAGAAAGTATGTGTTAGGACTTCCAAAGTGCCACTGCATTCAGCATGAGGAAGCCATGAAAGCTGCATGCCTGTTGTTTAAAAGAGAGAGGCCTGAACAATGCGTGCTGATTTTTACATGCATGCCACCTTGATCATCCGTTGTCCCCTTATCAGGCTTGGCAGGGGTCTGTGCTCTGCCCACACTCACTCGTGTGAGGGAGGAACTTCTCTTCTTCATAGAAAGGCCTACAAACATGAGAGTGGAGTTACAGCTGAGTAGGAGCTGGAGGAGTCAACAAGGAAAAGCCCCCCCACCCCACCAAAAAAAAAAAAATAGTTGGCACCGTCATGTGCACTTCATTTGGCCTTGTGCAAGTCACCAGGCAAGAGCTAACAGCAGCTGATGCCCCAGTTTAAACAACGAATGCCTGAATACACAAACCAGCTTTTCAACGTCTGACACTTGGTTCCCACTAAACCAACATTTCCTACGTTGTTTCTTTAACAGCTGAAAGTGAAGCTAGCTTGTTGAAAGCTGAAAAACAATGTGTTGTGCTCTGACTTTAATGTGAAAAGAAAATATGGTGAACAAGGGGTGATCCTCTGCACCTGTCTGTTCCACCTGAAGCTTTTTGCCATCCTCCTTACTGGCCTGAGCAGCTGTGCCACTGCTTGGCAACCGGTTACAAGATGAACTCCTTGGCTTAACACCTGAGAGACAACAACGAAACACGCAGCGATGAAATTACACGACAGCACCTCAGTGCTGGTCCATCCAACGTCTTAAGACTCCTGCATCAATTGTGGATTAAAACAATCAAAAGTGAAATAGACAAAGGGCATTTCTGAACTTGACATTATCTCATAACCCAGTTTATGAATATTTTTTCTTCATAAAACCTACTGTTTCCCCACCACTCTGTATATAAAATATTTATTGTGAATTAGGGGCTTGTAAATATTGCAAAAGACAACTAACAGTAAGAACTTGTTAAATTGCAGTTTAATGCATGGGATGTTGAACTGTTCGGTATATTTAGTTCAGTACCTAAAAGAAATGTATAGTAAATGTATGCAGCAGAGTTGTGGGGTCCTTGGAGGCAGAAAGACAAAAGTATGTTTCCCCATCACTCTGTGTTGAGTCTGTGTGGTAAACACTGAATATGACAAAGAACAGGAGTCCATTTCAGGTCAAAGTTCATTTTAGGCTTAAAGCTGATGGCGAAAACTTTTCACAAACACATTTGTGTACATGCCCGATGAATACTGTCTGCTATACGCTATGTGGGATGAAAGGCAACACTTGAACACAAGATTAGTAGGAGGGAAGGAGAAGGTGAGGGAACAAAGGGGTTAGGAGAGAAAGGTGGAGACTTACGATTGATGAGTGTGGCGGAGGAGGACAAACGTTTGCTGATGCCAGCCTCAGACGGCTGTTTCAGGTTGGTGGTGGATGTGGAGCGCTTGTCAACTAAGTGCAGGGAGGAAGAACAGACAAGGGAGGCGGGATTTACACAGGAAACTAGCCAATAGGAGAGGAGGTTCAGGTGCAGACAAGGAAGGGACCACAAAGTTCTGCTACTTACTAATTCCTTTACAAGATAAAAATAAAAGTATTACCTGCTTCAGTAAAGTCTTTAAGCACTGAACTGAAATGTTTTAGCGCATGATGTGCATTAGTAAACACTGTTTGAAAGGATTGTTGTGTTTAATGATACTCTTGTTGGAACCTGTGCTTGTACATACATACACATTCAGAGCAAAAGCGTCGAAGGAAAAGACGTTAGTGGAAAAACTGCCAGTTAGAGGGCAGGAGGGGACTGATGGGATGGAGCAGTTATGGTGCAATGGGGAACCAGGCTATCTGTGGTGCCAGTGCCAGCTCATGCTGTGTCATGACATTAACGAACAAATTAAACAAAACCTTGTCCACTCCTCTGTGGCTTTTCTGATGAGGCAGATGAGACAACTATAGTTACTGGAGAAGAGACGCTGGCACCAGCTTCTCCTGTGGGAAAAAACAGCTCTCAGGCAGGAACAAAAACACAAGATGATGGGGCACATCCTTCATACGAGGAGAGAAAATGTGCAGTGACATGTGGCCAACAGTCATTAGTTTTGACTTCAAATTTACTGGCTAAAGCACAAATACAGTAGGGAAACTGGTTTAAATGTGAATTATTCTAGATGAAAAGGAGAAGACTGCACATTTCTTAATTAACCAAATCTGCCATCAACAACTCTTTTGCCAAATAGTTGAGGACACTAAATTTTTAGTGAGACGCTCTAAATGCACTGGAAAAGTGCTGCAGAGGCGAGATGGTGAAACAGAACGTGAACATGGAACTCTACCTGCTTGTCCATCTTGATCTGTGGACAGTCCCCCCCAAGACCACCTTTTCTGCCTCTGTTCCAGTCTCTGATTACGCTCCATCGTTCGCCTCATCACTGCCTCATAGTGTTCCTGCAGCAAATGGAAGCAGAGGAGAAAAATGTAAGAAATCTAAACACCTAATTGTCAGTGGGTGCAACTCTGCCACAACCCCTTTGATTTATTCCTGAAAGAAACAGTCGATCATAACCCTGTAAATTATCGTAACATCCGAGCATCAGTATGCAAAGAGTTTCCTGACTCTGTTTTAGATACCTTTTCTTCTTCGTGCTTCTGTTTCCTCTTCTCTTCCACAGCCAACCGTTTCTGCTCCTCCTTCCGTCGCTGTTCCTCAACCTTTTTCTGACGTTCCTCCAACTGGCGCTCCACTTGCAGCTTAGCTTTGCGTTCCCGCTCCATGATCTGAGACTCTCGTACAGCTGACGACACATTCAGATTGTCAATTCATGCAAGGTGAACGTAGACTGGGGAAACATAAGTGTGCTTACTGCCTTCTGTTTGGACTGGGAGCCTACAAAGCACAGCAAAGGCTTTTTTGGATGTAATTACAATTATATATATATATATATATATAAAACCGGTAAGTTTTTGAAGATGTAAAAAAAAAAAAAAAAAAAAAATGTTTTGTGCATTTTATACCAAAATCATGCCCCCAAAATTATTTTTCTATTTTATATAATAGCCATTCTATTTCTAAAACAGGTGTGAACAAATTTTCTGTTTGTTATTTTTTTAAGTTAATATTTAAGTTAAAAAATTCAAATAAAATCTTCTCTTACCCTGTTTTCTGTCTGCCTCCTCTCTCCTCTCTTTTGCTACTCGCAGTCGGTCGTCTACTCGAAGCGCGGCACCATCAATTACTGCAAACGTATAGATGTATACGTAGTTAAATAGAAAAAAAAGGCACAAAAATACAGCGTTAGAGGGTGAGTTACAATGCAGGCAAGTGTTACAAAGGCTTTGCATCAGGTGGACAGATGTGTGCATGTGACCCATTAATAAGCTGCGTCAACTGTTACAGTAATAAGATGATGACTGGCAGTAAGCCGCACTAAGAGGACGATGGAAGTGGATTGTGTTGCATCTAAATGTTAAGATTACAAAAAACAAAGCAGTGAAAGGGCTTTGTTATGCGTCTGTGTCGAAGTGCAGTGTCATTTACCTGGCCTACACCCCTGAGATTTAGCTGGTGCGTTTGTTGTAGGCCCTGGACTGTCCCCTGCTAAGTTACGCCGCTCCTCTGCTTGTGCCTGAGCGGCTGCAGCTGCACAAAACAAAGATGACCTAAAGTTAAACACAAAACTACTGGAACACAATGTTGTGTTTAATAAAGCAAATATGTGAAATCATCTCAAGAAAACTGTAGCTTTGAGTATTCAAAACATGTGGTAATCATTTTTTTCTCTGTGCACTAACAGCTTAGTAAAAAAAAAAGCAACAATACAATCCTAATACTTAGCCATCAGACATAAGCATCCCCACCCTCTTGTCATTAACCCTAGTGCCAAGCTTTTATTGCTTTTTATGACAAGCTGGGGCAACACCACCACCAGCCTGATCAAGAAAGCTCATCAGAGACTCTACTTCCTCAGGCGGCTGAGACGAGCTGGTCTGGGAAGCTCAGTCCTCACCTCCTTCTACAGGTGTGCAGTGGAGAGCATCCTGTGCTCCAGCATCAATGTGTGGCATGGAGGCTGCACAGCTGCAGAAAGAAAAGCTCTGCAGAGAGTGGTGAAGGCTGCACAGAAGTCTGTTAGAGTCAGTCTCCCCACTATCACAAACATTTACACCTCCAGATGCAGGAAGAGGGCCACCAGCATCACGAAGGACTCCACTCACTCAGCACACACACTTTTTGCCCCGCTCCCCTCAGGAAGGAGGTTAAGGAGCATTAAGTAGGCCAGTCACGATAACAAATTTTGCTGGGCGATTGTCTCAGAAATTATTGTAATAAACGATAATATTGTTTGAAATTTAACAATAATTTGTAATTAGATAATTTGTAATTATTGTCAAATTTAAGAAGGAATGTTGGTTAATTTGTTTTGTGTGTAGTACTTTTTTGAAGACTGGATGGCTGTATAAGACTGTTTGAACTGAAGGATGGATAGTGAGGGAGTGAGCAGCGTCTCTCTTTAAGAAAAATGGGAGGCCCCTTGACGTGACATGGGCCGTCTCTATTCGGTTCTCAAAATGGCGAACGCTCGGTGTGGTTTGAGCTCTTTAGCATAGCATTTTTCACACAAATCTTTTAATAAAAATCAGTAAACACATTCTCAGCTTCTTATGCAGAGAAAAAACAACTTTCTAGACAAAGGCACGAGTTTCAACCATGAATTTTGGAGCTTCGACAAGACGGAGGCTTTTTCCCGAGGTCGGCCTGTTAGCTTAGCTCGTAGCTTAGCTTCTCAGCTTAGTTGCTTTTACTGATCCAAAAACGCAATTTTGGACGGTTAAAACAGATTTTAAAGAGAAAAGAGAAAGGGCAGGGTAAGTGAAGAACACCCGAATTTAGCTTTTTGTCATCCGGTGTCTTCAGTAGAAAGAGAGAGATGAAGAAACGATAAAGCCAATAAATGAAAATGAGATCAATAATTTTCATTTATCATGCGATTAATTCATTTATTGTTTATTGTGACAGGCCTAGCATTAAGTGTAGAACCACTAGACTGGGGCGGCTGTGGCTGAGTGGTTACAGCAGTTCTCCTCCAATGCGAAAGTTGGGGGTTTGAATCCACCATCAGTCACATGTCGAAGTGTCCCTGGGCAAGACACTGAACCCCTCATAGCCTCTGATGTGTGTCCCATCAGTGTATAAACGTGATAAAGCACTGGTTAGTCTCTTTAGAATGATTTGTTCAATTAGCTTTGTAGAGATCTAGTAGAGTGCTGTAGGAATGGGTAAATGAGGACACAGATTGTAAAGCGCTTTGAGTATCTTGAAATAAGATAGAAAGCCGCTGTATAAGTACAGTCCATTTACCATTTAGACTGAGGAACAGCTTCTACCCTGAGGCTATTAGACTCATGAATCTCTAACCAGAATAATCACATCATGTTGCTGCTGATCTGTTTCATGTTGCTGTGTTCATGCGTGCTCATCTGCTCACACAGACTCATGTTCGTGCTGCTGTTTGGCGTATTGTTTTTATGCTACTAGTGCTTAGTGTATTTAGTTGATGTTTTTCTTAGTTCATAGTCTTAGTTCATTTCTTGGATCTCTTATTACTATTTTTCTTTTACATTTTATTGTTGGATGTAACTGGGACCCTGTGTACATAATTTCATTCCGCAACATGTGCCACATGTGGTGCGAACGACAATAAAGAATATCTGAATCTCAGATGAACGTGATGATGTGGAAAGATTTTGAATCAAATCCTGATAAACTTCCAGGTATATGACTAATAATGATTCCAGGGTAACAATCTAATACACATAAAATAAAATTATTATGACAAAACTCAAGTCACTGCTGCGCTGATTAGTGTGCATGAGGTGATCAAGGTGATCAGTTTTCTTTAAGAAGGCACGAGCTCCTGAAGGTAACCATTAGATTACCTTTTTTCAGTTAAAACAAACAATCTGTAAGCTAAAACTATTACAGTGAACAGTAAACTTAGGAAATAACGAGAGAGAAAGGAAGGAAATGCTGAGGACACGATTAAGCTTTTTGAGCCCTTGTAACTGTCAGGACCTTTTTTTCCCCTCCTTGTTGCCGTATACTCAGCATTACAGAACTGCTGACAAAGAACAATAACAATCAATAGCACTGTGATACTCACAAAGATGGACTGGTACTCTAAACATGCACTGAAGGCTTTCCCTCTTCAATACTAATAAGTGCCACTTTTTTCATAACCATGAAAACTAAACTTTCAGGTGGCATTCCAGAAAAAAACTATGTAATTTGCAAAAACACTTATTTGTAAGGTAGCTGTCACATCCAAGTGTTTCTGTACATCTTGTTAATTTATGGCACTAGAAATCACATATGAATCAAATTCCACTTGTGAAAATTGCAAGACAATAAAATCAGCATCCAAGAAATACTACAAAAACAGTTTTTCTTTCGACTGCTCCATTCTGCAGGGGTCACCACAACAAACAAACTTGCATGGAAGATTTGGCAAATGTTTTACGGCAGATTCTCGGCCTGAAGGGGAGTGGTGGCACAGAACTTGTGAACCAAATTATGTGGGTGGAAAAGGTGAAGTACCAACATCTGCCTGCACCATCATTTGTCCCATTCTGGGTCATTAAACAAGGCACAACGACTCCCCTCCATCCCCCACCCCCAAATGTTAAAGAGGGGCGGAGGCCCCCGTGTTCAACTGTCCCTCTCCGTTATTGCAAGTATCATTCATTCAACCTTTATTTAGACCGGTAAACCCCATTGAGCCTCGAGGACTCATTTACAAGAGAGACCTGATTTCAACAATTTTGATTTCATCACTCAGCCCTCTGTGAATAGCAAGCAGCCATCAGGGCACTAACGATCAAACGTCAGGCTGATGGTCCTCCTTTTGATGTAAACAACTAGTTTTGGTTGTCACCAGCAAACTGGTTGATCCACTATGAGAAGGTGCTGCTTGTTTGTTGTAGCGCCTCAGACCAAAGAAACAACAGTATAATCACACTTTAATAACCTCCATGGAAAACGAAAAAGGGACCTTAGTGACAGACGGGAGAAGATGAAACGTTTCAACAAAGAAGAATTTGTCCAGAGGATCTGACTCAACCTTGTTAGAAAAAAATCCACATTTGAACTGATACACAAAGGCACCTTTTAAGTCTTTTCTATGTTGTGGTGCAAAGATCAAAATTGCACCATGCACGTCACAGGTACTAATCATGGTTTCTCAAAGTACAAAGCAGTCTGCCTGTCTGTATGGAAATCAATTCACTTTCAACTTCCTTTATTAGCACACAGGCAGAATAGTCGGCCTCTCATTCATGACATTATACTGCCAAATTGAGTGGTGAACCAAATACTTGTGCTTTTCTTACAGTTTAACTAAAAAAAGTGCTGTGTTGACAAGGGCAAATGAGAAACCCAATACTGAATATCCTGGCAGAGATTCTGATTCTTACAAATAGCCCACAAAAAGAATGGTTTTCTCCAGTACATTAGTTTGCTGCAACAGTAAGTCTTCACTGTTAAGAGACAAAGTTATACAGTATATGAAGAAAACAAACTACCTTTAGACAAAACTAAACCGAGTTTAATAAAATATTCTAGTCATGTCAACAAAAACATGAGGCCAGATCAATAACACACATATTGGCAAATGAAAGGTCACATATTTGTTCAATAATATTGGCAAAAGCTGAAATGAAGTAGCTAAACTATGTTTAATGTAAGCTTCATGAGCCACATTGTCCTGAAACTAGCCAAGTGTTACTAATCTGTCTAATAATGGAATGACGAGAAAAAAATACATCAGAATGAGCAGGAGTTAAATATCTGACATGTTAAGTAGCCATGCATGCATTATCTTCAATATACAGCAGATCTTCAATATACAGCAGCAGCAGCAGCAGCGGCAGCGGCAGCGGCAGCGGCAGCGGCGGCGGCGGCGGCGGCGGCGGCGGCGGCAACAACAACAACAACAACAACAACAACAACAACAACAACAACAGCAGCAGCAGCAGCAGCAGCAACAACAACAACAACAACAACAACAGCAGCAGCAGCAGCAGCAGCAACAACAACAACAACAACAACAACAACAACAACAACAACAGGGCCACAGTCTATAGTTAATCATTTTGTGGAGTATAGGTCACTTTCCCACTCAACCGTATTTCTTCTGCCACGGTTATGAGAAGATTAACTGTAAATATTAGATTATAAATCTGGCTTCACTATACAGTATACAAATTTGTAGATACACACACATAACTAATTCATCTATACTAAATTAAATGATTAAGTAAATCAATCTATCACCATTTCTGTGCAATTTTGTTGAAAACACTATAGAACAACCTTAAAGATTTGTTCCTAAATATTAAGTGCTATGATTAGTTTTGTTTTGTGTAATGTGTCCATTTTACAGCACATTAGCATTGAGTACAGGTTAGCTATCAACTTATGGCTAACTTTGGAGAATGAAACCTCACCAAATTACAGCAACAGATAAAAGAATACCAACACTGCAGCATGGTAACATCACTATGTAATACATTGTGCATCTTAGAAAGAATAAAACCATTTTTAAGCACATTAAAAGGCCTGTTTCGAGAAACAAAAAAAAGACTAAATTAAAATGAAACCACTATAGAAACATAAACAGAGGGAAAATGCTTTAAAAGCTCATTAGTAAGAAGAAATCTCAACTTGAAATCTTATACAGCTTCAAATAGAGATGTACACCAAATGTTTATAGTTCTGAATCAATTTCTTTTTTAATTATACTGATACTGAAAAGTGCATCAGGTTTAAAATAGGCTCTAAAAAGCTACTTAAGCAGTATGCAATTGTAAAAATTCAATTCAGTTTATTTATATAGCACCACGTCACAACAGAAGTCATCTCAGGGCACTGAACAAAGCAACGTTAACCATTTATAGCTTACAAATGAAATATTCAACTGCATCATAATATGATATAATTTATATTTCAGTACACTGCATTTTTCTGCCTCATAGGGGGAAGTAAAAGTTGACAGGAAAAGGTTGAGGAGGTAGCAGCTGTTCACTTCAACAATGCGAACTACTTTGCATAATATCACTGACTATAAAACTTAAAGCCTAAAAAAATCACGACATGGTCAACTGAGTTTTTGGATTCCAGAAGCATACTAAGAAATTAAATGTATGAAACTCAAGACAAACGTCTTGCAATTAAAAAAAAGCACACAGCTCTCCACCAACTGATTAAAAAGGTTTTGAGACATAGAGACAGTTTTCCCAACAGATCTCATGAGAGGCAGGTGTGCTCATAGAAATGAAAAAAACCAATGAGAGGAGCTTACTGTCATCACTCCATCACTATGGGGATCTGCACACATTAACATATATTACTACTGTTGGGTTGGACAAACTTAGCCATGGTGTCAGAGACAAAAACGGTGACTTTTAAGAACTCGTCTGTTGATTTAGATTTTAAACAGATCAAACACATTAACTGAGCGGTATAAATATTTCTTAGGATGTTGGAAAAAATATATGCGCTCCAGTCTGCAGCAGAAAATATGCCACTTCCACACAATTTTCTCATGATCATCAAATAGTTTTGTAACGTACTGTGGTTTATCTTACCATCAAACTTAATATGGTACAAAAGAACTGTACAGCTATTATGATATTGACTTTAGCAATTTGAAGTGAGCAAACAACAATAGTAACTTTCTAAGTGGAGCACAAAAGGTCAGATTAATTACAGCTCAGCCCCGGGCTGCTGGGTTATTATGGCAGGGTAAAGATCACTGGGGGACTAATAATGACCCAGCTTTGCAGCCCAAATAAACCCTAAACAGGAAACAGGCCAGTCTGCACAACATCAAACTGCTCCAGTCAACTATTACAAAATCAACTGATATTTTGTCACATACACAACTGGTAAACTGAACAAAAAAATATGAAAAGAAATTTAAAATAAGCACTAAAGTTACTGTAGCTCAGCTGATCTCGTCTGCTTCTTCAAACTGCACTCCACTGTGCCTGCAGCACGTTGCAGCTAAATGACTTGCTGCTCCGGAAATGTCTGGACTGCTAAATGCACGTTTGGACCACCATTTGGCATTGAAAACTTGAAGTGGGCAGACTTTTATGCAAATAAACACAATTAGAGGGTGGATGTGCTGTCAGAACGACTTAAAGAAGGCATGTTTAAAATGTATTTAAAACGTCCGTTTAGCTGTGCCCGAGTTGGGTAACTGAAGGCAATATCAACAACAACAAAACGAGCACCTGGTTTTAAGATCTCCTGATGCATGCTCAATAATCCAGGTAAAAAATCTAAAAAATAAAGTTAAATCTGGTCCTCCGGACATTCAAAATTTTTTTTTTTTTTTTTAAATTGTAGAAACGTTTCGTCTTTCATCCGGAAGACTTCTTCAGTCTGAGGTGCTGTGTTCAGCTCAGTCTTATAAATAGCACCTCCTCATAGTGGACCAACCAGTTTGCTGCTGGTTTTGGCTGACAGCAGCAAACTGGTTGATCCACTACGAGAAGTTGGTATTTATAAGACTGAGCTGAATACAGCACCTCAGACTGAAGAAGTCTTTCGGATGAGAGACGAAACGTTTCTACAATTGTTTTATTTTGTTTTTTTGAATGTCCAGAGGACCAGATTTAGCTTTTTTAGATGGTTTAAAGGTCATATACATTTTAACCATTTAGGAAGGAAAGAAAACGAGTGCTTCTCTATTGCCAAATAAAACAAAATTCAGCCTCTTCACATTCCTCTCAACTTTAAAGTACGTTTTATTTTGAAAATCAAACCGTTTTCCCATCAATTTTCTGAATGCTGAATGATTACAGTAATTTTAGGGCATTTATTTTTTCCTGACAGACAAAAGATCCATGGGTGAGAAGAAAGGAGAGAAGTTCAGCATCTCATTATATCTCCTAAAAATCAACTGCGAAAAAACCTGCTCTGAGGACAGGCTACATAAGAGTGCTTAAGTATAGTAAACCCTTTGTTTGACCAACGTGTGTCACAGACCTTTCTTTAAGACTCCTGGAAGCGTGTTAGTTTGTATAAAATAAGCAAAGTGTGTGCTACCACCAGTGAAATCAAAACTGAAATACTCTTGACTGACATTCTGTGTAAAACTAAACCCGTGGCAATGAAAATGTTTTGTTATCCTCAAGATCTCAGGTCAAATGACACTGCTGATGCATGCCCACAAACACACACACGCATTAACTTATCTAACTAATCTTCTACGGGATTATCAAAGCCTGTTCATGCAAAGGTAAGCCTTAGCTATTTGCAGAACTAGCAGAATCATGGTGACACATCCCAGTTTGTTAAGGAGTCCTTTTCTCCAGGAGGATGAATTTCTTCTACAGACTCACTGACATCAACACAAATTAATACAATTAAATTATAGTAAAAAATATTATGTATTCACCAATTCTAACTTGATTGTGTATTAAATCATGTTAGTCTGGGTGGTTGAAACAAAATGCATATTGTGTGTCATAATACCAAGAAACAAACTGTTAATGACATCAATTATTGGTTTTATACGAGCCACAGAACCAAAGCAGGTTCCAGGTTGGAACTAAGAGTGTCAATCAAACGGTTTGTTACTGGTACTTGAATTTGGTAAATAAAATAAAAGTACTGTTTAATCTTTTGAACCTCACATTTATTTCCCACTTCTGTTCCTGGTTGCTGTCTGTAACTCAGCTGAATTCATAAAACTTGCAATCAGCACCTCAAGGACTAAAACACACTGCGTTTAGAAAGTAGCTGACATTAAAAAAAGATTTTATTAAGAGTTTATCTCTCATCAATCCCTAAACTCTGACAATTTTTTAAGTGTTTTTCAACGTGGACATTAGGGGTAGGAGGTAAAACCTATGTTTAAATACATCATGGACATGGAAGTGTATGAATCAATTTATAAAACTCTTAAAAGGTTTTGTTAATGTTAATCTGTGCTGCCCCTTTAAGAGTCAGCAGAGTGGTTGCTGCGCAGTGCTGTTTGTCCTGGTAGTTACTTTAGCTTCCTGTTTTAACACCAGTGTTCCCAGTCACTGAAAGATTTGAATAGTTTAAATGAACGTTAATAACTTTTGACAGGAATGCTTTTCTGGACTGGGAAACTGAACAGGGAATGCACGCTAACCTTAATGTTGTTGGTGCACGATATGCAAGTGGGAAGGAGTTCCACAAGAACAGAGGTGTTTTTTCCCCTTTTGTCTAAGTGGGCAGAGTTCTATCCACCACTATGTGCAATGGTGGAGCTGGGGGTGGCCAAGGCCACCAGTGACCACCCCCTGGCTCCACCATTGCACCTGGTAATGGATAAAACACTGTGCCACCTCTTTGGTCACCCAAATCTTTTGAGGAAACTATACTTTTGAGCAATATTAAAACTAAAAATCATCATTTCCTCAAATGATAGGGGTGACTTACTTACCTGCATACATGCATGCATACATAAAGGAAATTGGCATGTTGCTTATTTTTCAAAGTATCCAGCTCACTTCTTTCTTCTTCTGGCGAGTCATCCTCCTCCATCTCACTCTGTCCTCTGCATCCTCTGTCCTCACTCCATCTACCTCCATGTCCTCTCTAACTGCATTCATATATCTCCTCTTTGTCCTTTTCCTGGCAGCTGCATTTCTAACATCCTTCTACCAGTATACCCACTGTCCCTCCTCTGAACATGTCCAAACCATCTCAGTCTGGCCTCTCTAACTTTATCTCCCAGTTGTTCAACCTGTGCGGTACCTCTGATGATCTCATTCCTAATCTTATCCATCCTTGTCACTCCTAAGGAGAACCTCAACATCTTCATTTCTGCTACTTCCTGTTCTGTCTCCTGTCTTTTTGTCACTGACACTGTCTCCAGACCATACAATATAGTTGGTCTCACCACTGTCTTGTAAACTTTTCCTTTGACCTTTGGGGACACCTTTTGTCATAAACTCCTGAAATTTTTCTCCATCCACTCCATCCTGCCTGGACTCTCTTTTTCCACCTCTTTACCACACTCCCCGTATTCCTGGACAGTGGACCCCAAGTACTTGAAGTCCTGCATCTTTGTGACCTCTGCTCCTTGTAGCCTCCCTGTTCCACTGGTCGCCCTCTCATTCACACACATGTACTCTGTCTTACTACTGACTTTCATTCCTCTTTGTTCAAGTGCATACATGTCATGCATGTCCTGTACCAGTCGAACATACTTGTCTGCCACTACAGATTTCCTCATGCAATACCACACCTCCTCCCTCAGCACCCTGTCATATGTTTTTTTTTTTAATCCACAAAGACACAATGGAATTCTTTCTGACCCTCTCGATCAGCATCATCAAAGCAAAGATGGTATCTGCGGTGCTCTTTCTTGGCATGACTCCATACTGCTGCTCATAAATTGTCCCCTCTCATTAAAGTCTTGCTTCTACAACTCTCTCCTGGATCTTCATCGTGTGACTCATCAACTTAATTCCCCTGTAGTTGCTACATCTCTGTACATCACCACTGTTCTTAAAAATGGGCACAAGCACACTTCTCCACTCCTCAGGCATTTTCTCACCCTCAAACATGCCACTGAATATTTGAGTCAAAAACCTCACTGCCATCTCTCCAGGACATTTTCAAACCTCCACTGATTTGTTTCAGATCCTACTGCCTTCCCCATCTTCATTCTTTTCAGAGCTTTCCCAACTTCATTATCCAGCTCACAACATTTACATACTGTATATCTGGTGGTGGTCATCTTGGATTTTTACATGGCAACCCAATTTTCAAAAGGAACTCCTCTTATGCTTAGATGTAGCCACAAACCAAAATGGGAGTTGATACCTCACTTATTTCTAAAGTTGTCATGTTCACAACATGCACAAACAGGCGGATGGTATTTCTAATCCCTTGTTTTCGTGCCATGACAGGGGACCAAAAACAGCTGAAAATTTTCTTATTTTATAATAATTCTTTGCTTCGTTGAACTCTGAAGAACATCTGTAAATAATAGCTGGAGGCCTCGTAACATGTCTGACTGTAGTGATAACTTTGAAACATTTGTGTATAAAATTCCAGTGATCAACACAATGCTAATTGCGTTACATTTCTAGGGCATTTTCAGTGTTAAATTCAATACTAATTGTTGGTCAACAACTTGTGATTAATGTTTTTTAATGCATGTTATTGTGCACTCTATTAGGAAAACATATACATAAATAATGTTAATGTAAATTAAGACAGTCAATTTCAAAATAAATTAAATGCATTGATAAGTTTTATAATTGCATTGCAACCCTCTGAATAGGTGCCTAAAGTTTTTCTAATTGCGCCGCTCAGGGTGGCTGCAAGTTGGAGCAGCTCTGTTACTTTCATTCTGAGATTTTGCTTTTGGAAACTTTAATTCCTCTTTTGCTTGATGTAAATCACTTTTTTTTTTTTGGATGATTGTTTGCTCTGGTATCGGATATTGTTCAGCTGGAAGGATTTTTACTGAAACCTTTTAACTTTTGGGCATTTGTTATGATGTGTAACCATAACAAGGTGTTTTTTGTTGGGGGTTTTTTACAACCGGGAGCAGCTAATTAACGTCTTAAAAGCTCAAATAATATCTCAGCTACAGCTCCAAATCTCAAATGAGTTGAGGGGGATGCGCTGTGGACGCATTCCCATCTACCTGCCAGCTGTGCTCGAGTGCCTGACCACTGAGAACCTGGAACTGGTGGGAAATTTACAAAATTCTTCTCATGCAGAAGGATTGGAATGGTCCTCCCGACACCTGCAGCCGGCTGTCCGAGCAACGAGGAACTTGGCAGGCTGCTAGGAGAAGTGGCCATCGCTCTGGGAGGAGTTCTGCCCGGCATTCGCAAGGTCCTGCAGCCCAGGAGAACTGAGAGGCCAGCCGAGTCCGGGTGGACGGATCAGAAGGCATCTGCAAACAGTTTCTTCGGATCCGCTTTGGGGCGGACCTTCACGAGAGATCCTTCCTGCCTACAGCCATCAGTATCTATAACATCTCTTAATGAAACGAGGATAACGAGTTACAACAACATTTAATTTTCCTTTGGGATGAATAAAGTATTTCTGAACTGAATTGAAATAATGAGCATAAAACGTTGGTTACGTACTGTAACCCCAGATTCTATGAGTATAAGCGTAGCCCTTTAAGGCCTTCGCTTTAGTGGGTTTATCCCGTTATGCAGAGCATAAGCACTGAAAAAATTAGTCCACGCCCACCTGCTGTGTGGGCCCCACCCGGTCCGTATAAATTACGTTAAGAGCGGGAAATCGGCTCCCAAAATAGCTTTTT